AAATAGTATAAGAAATATAATATGATAATTGAAATAATAAGAACATTAGAAATTGTAACATATTTTCTAATAATCATTTTTTAAGGATGTTATTTAGTTTTTATATATTAATTTCTAATAAGATCTCAATATATTTTTATGAGGAGATACATTATATTGAATGTGTTAATAATGAATTTGATATCTTCATTGAGGATGGACTAACAATTAAATATGATAAATACTCTTTTCTTATGATCCATCTAAACCCTCTTGAATTAATTTAGAGAAATTTAAATGTTATTAACTTTAAAGTCTATTATCTGTAGATTCTAAATCATTAAATCAATTATTCAAATATATGTCATAGTAAGGTGGGTGGAGTATCTGAAATCAAAAATAAAATTTGATAATCAAAATTATTATGATTCATAAGAACTATTAGTTATTATTTTTCCAAATTATATCTAAAGGCATTTTATTAAAAGTTGTGATTTAATGATTTTATTTACACATTGCTATTATGTTTATTTTGCATTTTATAAAATTATAGTTTATTTAAAATAATAAAAAAATGGCAAACCTTTTGATTCTAAATGTTACTAATTTAATTGGGAATAGTAATGCTAATAAAAATTCTACAGTTTTAACTTTGGAATTCAGAAAGAATGAAATTTTAGATAACAATCAATATTATAGATTCAGATGATATTTAAAAATTGATAATGATATTTGAGAGAGAGTATTAATGAATTATAAGATTATTATTTATTATCTAGATGTTATAAATAATAATCTTCTCATGCATTAATTAATATTAAAGATTAAATTATATATCTATCCATCATTTATTAAAGTATCTTTAAATAAGTATTTTAGATTAAGTATAAAGTATATATTTTTAGTAATCATGTAAATGATAATTTATTTGTAATATTAAAGTATTTATAATTTATGTGTAGTGCTATATCGAATTCATTAAAAACATAACTGATATCAATTAGATAGAGAATATACTTTTTAAATTATAATAAGTATTATTGAACTTTTTATATTTCAAAATTTATTAGTCTAATTGTTAAAGGAAGAGATCACATGTAAATTACTTATTATTCTCTCTTCTTCCTATTTTTCGATATTTACTTTCAGAACTAATCCAACTTTTTCTAAAGTAAAAGATTTATCTCATTTTGTTTAAAATATAGACAAAAACTTGAAATACTATATAAGTCTTATTGTTTTTAAATTCTCGCATACTTGCTTATTCCTAATAATCAATATTTTTGAAATGAAATTATGTTAAATATCATTTTTAATAATAAAAAATGGGAATTCCTTCTTCAAAAAATAGCAATTTATAAAGAAAATGGATACTAAATTGATATAAAGCAATTAGATTATTACTGAACAAAAGGAATGTAGTATCAGTCAATCTAGCGGTAAACAAAGCTATCAATTAAAATCAAGGGAAATGAAATTTTTTGGAATTTAAAATATATTGAAATAACTTCTTAACTTATTTCTTTGTGACTATTTATATGTATTTCAATATATCATTTGATTATTGGTATTCTAAATATTTAATTCCTCATTTCTTAATGTGATTCTTAACTTTGAGTAAGGAAGTTTGGTAGTACTACAGATTTAGTTGTATTTTTGCATATCCTTATTTGAAGATTACTATTGCTTTTTGTTGACAAATTTGATTAGTTTATAATGGGAAATTTTTTATTTTCATAATGGATCAAACATTGAGTTCATTACTTGTTCAATTTTAAAGAGCTTGAGAAAATAAAATAACTTATTTAAGAAATAGATTTTAATAAAATAAAAAATAGATAAACAAAAAAATGTAAAAATATAATATAAAGTGCATAATTAATTCAATAGTGGGGGTGGATTATACGATGAAGAAGGCTGTGGCATTAAGATTGGGAAATGGATTGATTTGTTTGAGGGGTTTTCTTCTTTTTCTTAAGTAACGTATGATGGTCTTTATCAAAATGGCAAAAAAATTGGAAGATGGGACATTTAGTTTAGAAGTATTGACCTTCATGGTGTAATTAGTGAGAACAACAGAAAAATGTAAAGATATAATATGAAGTGCATAATTAATTCATTAGTGGGGGTGGATTATACGATGAAGAAGGCTGTGGCATTAAGATTGGAAAATGGATTGATTTGTTTGAGAGGTTTTCATCTTCCTCTTAAGTAACTTATGATGGTCTTTATAAATATGGAAAAAAAGTTGGAAGATGGGACATTTGGTATTAGAATCATAATACAGGAAGAAATAGTTTAATGTAAAATATATTCTATTACCCTATAAATTCTTTAGCGGAGGGGGAACATATACGGAAGAAGGTGATGAGATAAAATTCGGGAAATGGTAAGAGGAAAATCAAACTTTTCATTGGGATTCTTAAATTATCCATTGTGGAAATTATCATTATGGTAGAAAAGTGGGTAGATGGGATATATTATATAATTTTTGGAATCAAAATGAATTTGTTTAAATGTAAATATCTTCTTAAAATCAAAATTCTAGTGGGGGTGGATCATATGATGAAGTTAGGTTCGGTATAAAGTTTGGGTCATGGATTGAATTATGTAATGATTTTTATGGGCACTTTAACAAATAAAATTACAGAATATTCAAGGGAGTTTACATTAACAATAAAAAAGTTGCCACATGGGCGGAAGCTGAATTAGAAGGATTCAAAATAGTATAAGAAATATAATATGATAAT